ATATCATCTCTGCACGATGTAATGCATCATTTCATGGGGTAGACTTATTATACATATCATCTCTGCACGATGTAATGCATCATTTCATGGGGTAGACTTATTATACATATCATCTCTGCACGATGTAATGCATCATTTCATGGGGTAGACTTATTATACATATCATCTCTGCACGATGTAATGCATCATTTCATGTTTGTGATTTTAATCTGCCACAGTCCATGTATCAAGCTCGGCTGTCCTAAGATATTTGCGATATTTTGCAGTCAACGATATATGCATGGTTTTAAATAGTATCTATCGTGTTATGTGTTGCGTGATAACACATTTATTTCACTTTAGTGTATTATTGTTTGAATTGTGTTGCTGAGAATGTTAATTAATATTTGTTTTTTTTGCAATCGAATGAAGTTGTAGAATCATGTGTTTTTCTTCTTGTTATCCTAGTCATCATACATTTTCTGAATAAAGTATCCGTTAAAATGGACAAGTTTCAAATTGATTAAAGTCGCTTTATGTGTGAATACGAATATGTTATAAAAATGATGCACGTTTTTTTAATTTAAACGCTCAAAATATACAAAATCAACATAATTGGTGCAAAACTGAAGCCGTCATTAAATGTAAAATATCTACTTAATACTGAAGTGACAAACGCGGCCCACAGACGACCAGATATTAAAATTACCCCCTTTTCGTCGTGGGCGCGCTCAATCACGTTGCAACCATGGAACCCATTTCTTATTGATAGATTGCTAATTGAGTCAGAAGTTATAAAACATAACACTCTTGATGAAGTGTCCAAACTACAATACACATTTATATCACAATGTCCTGTTCACAACCAATAACATCAAAAACGGTGTTAGAGTTCAAGGTATTCCGTCATGTTTTTTTATTATGCTGGGAAAACAGTATCACAAAACCATTGTTGTCATGGTAACTAATTATTATCACCAGCTTATAGCCTTAACATGCCACACGCCACAAGAAGTTTTCGGTCATCACAAAGTTATCGTTGGTTTGTGTGGTATCCTGATCACCGGGTAAAAAATGCCCGAATAAACTCTGTCTAACAATAAATGTATATGATTAATGTAAAACACTGATACTTTTTTATATATCTGATTTCTCTCGTGATTTCTTTGATTCTCTGTAAAGTAGCAGAATTTGTTGCGAATTTGTTCAATATAATATTTATGTGGTCAAGTCAGTGTAAAATTACACAGGAACGAGGCGTTAACGCATTGGAGTAAAAACGTGGATATTGTATTTTTACCTGAGACTGAATTTGCCTCAAATATCTTGTTGAGAGACAGACACGATACATGCTTTTCCCTCTCAAATACTTATCCTTAATCTCCTCCCATTGTACCAACTGTTCTCTTGACCAATATAACCATGGTATTTGAGGAAGAATATTTGAGAGACATGAACAGGTATCGTGGGCCTCGCTCACAACGAGATCTCGGCGGCCGAATGTATCTAATGTATATTGATCAATTAGAAATTATAGTTTACGTTGCAACATTAACTTAGATATCAAACACTTGTATAACTAAAGTGTACCTGTTTTATTTTTTCAAACTTCACACAAATCATGACGGCGTGACATTGAACACTATATGATCTGTATTGTGCGTTTGTTTTGCCAGATTCATAAGCCGAAATGTCGGGGACGTGAAACGTTTATCTCTTTATCAAATAATGACCATTAGTTTACTTGCCACGCGTCGTCTTATATAACACACCACGAATAATTTCCTGTAATGTAATAGTAATGTAACTGCTCTGTTACAGCTTGTCGCCAATGTACCATTTAACACTGATTACAACTCTTTTTACAGTTCACGTTCATGTAGCCTGGGTTGTTGCGACACTCGTCGTCAGAGGCCCACCAGCCGCATAATTCATTCTCGTCCAGGCATACTGTGGAAAAACGCAAGGGATATATTCACGTTAATATGTTGTATTTTGCTCGCTTTCACCTTGGACATGTACGACTAAACTAATCACCGGCTATGTATACGCGCTGTAGTTACATCACTCCTCAGAAAACAAATATTACGCTGTTTCCCGAATTATGAAAAATCTACTGACAGTGTTAAGAATATAACAATTGTTCTGCTAATGTGATGTGTTGCTGCGAGCTATCATACTAACTGTTGAACATCACTAGACTGTGACCATTCTCGGACCATACTATAACACATCCTCGTTCTAATGCTGTATATGAAACCTAATTATTATAATTTGCATGTTTGATACAGCGTTTCATTCCAAAAGGTCCCTACATACAGGACACTGTTGTATAGAATCGAACTATTCGAAATTAGCATACATATAATGTAACAGTGCAAGTATTTTACCTTTAGTGTAAGCGGAACACTTCCCACAGCTCCTCTTGCACGATGAATGCATGTAGTTGGGATTTTTAACACATTCGCCACGTCGTGCCCAGTCATCACACATATCGTTGTGATCAATGCAATCTAACATGATGGTAATATAATGAGAAAAGAAAAGAACAAAGTCCTTCGACAAATATTGTTACATAATTATGAAGTTGTTTGGTGACATAAAGTAGCATGATCTCAAAACTATTTTATTATAATAATTTCTTTATTGCTATTTGGTCGTAAACCTGGAAGGGGTACATCACTAATATATCATTAATTATCGCAAATAACGACAGCATGTAGAAATGGATGCATACTCAACGCATATAATAAGATGTTATATACCTGCTGGTACAACGGATGATGGACACTCCGCGCAACTCTGTTTACAGTTCTCCAACATGTATGTCGGGTTAGCTTGACACTCGCCATCAGCAGCCCATGACGCGCAACGTTCGTTTGTGTCTACACAATCTAATATAAAAATATCAATAGTTGGTTATATTATACATCAAGTGTATATCTATGCAAGTATATCAATTAAATGTTATTCGACAATGCATTACATTCCTAATATTTGAAAGATTTATTATTTGATTCGACATGCGCATGCTCATCAAGTTACGCAAGGTCCGCGTTCATTGCACGCTATTTCGGTTCAACGTTGTGGAAGGTGGGTGTTGCGCAGTGAGGTGCACGTTTGCCCACAGTGTCGGGTCTACATTTGGTATTGATATGACGTGGATGATAGCCTTTGTTAAGGTGATCCCTTGTACATCCACAAGGGACATTATAGAACTCAAATAGAAGTGGTTACTTGTTTTACCTTCTGTACACAAATTACAAGTCTTTTTACACTTCGTCTGCATCCACGGGTCTCTATCACATTTGTTGGCCCAAGTACTACACAACTTGTTATCGTCCTTACATTCTGTGTGAAAATATACAATCGTCATTCTGTAGCATATATATGTATATGTACTACTTCATTGCACTATAGTCTCTACCGGTTGGCATGCGTTAACACTCTGTTTCGTGTGACTGTAATATATTGTTCGAATCGATGTCACATGTACGTTGAATGGGTTTTTTACATTTTTTATCGACACTGTCACAAACTATACCATCAATAAGATGAAAACTAATTGGCACATAGTCACCTGATAAGTCACATGATGAATAGCATTTCCCATACTAAATTTGTAGGGTGGTGATTTCAATGGAAAACAAATCCAAAATTCACACATCATAGCATAGGCAATGAGAATTATTTCCATCACGAGGTTTGTCGCACAGGTCAGTACAATAATGCGAGACTGATACTGGCGACATGCCCAATAAAACATGCGCATAAGTGGGATGTTATCAGTTCATTACATGTATGATGATTTGTTTAGTGCTTTGAGATAGCCACGCGTGAGATTAGACCGAATGTCATCACACATAAAGCAATTGGGCAGATCGGCTGAAAAATAATTGGATGGACAACTCAATTCAAGTTTTATATATACTAGATTATATCGAATGAGATTTGTAATATTACTAAATTGTAATGTGGTTTACCTTCTCTCCTCGGTGACACTGTTGTTCTGGGCTCAAACTCCTGGAGATGGTCAACTGAAACAATACACAAAGAGGGTGGGCAAGGGGGTAGCTGGTACGGTTTTACGGGAAATAACAAGGGCTTTTTAACAATTTACAAAGAAAAAAAACGTTTTTACAGTTTACAGTGATGAAAAATGGA